CTTGCATAGTTATGGAATAAGAAAGTTTTATAAATGAGACTTAAAACTTGGAAGCTATAGAGTCTGAAGACATGAAACTTATGCATGTATGATAAAATAAAGAAGTAAAACTTCTTCATTCAGAAGATGCAAGTTGGTAAATAGGGGGTAAGAAACAAAAATAGCAAAGGATTAATGTTCATAATATGTACAGAACTCTTGGAAATCCCTGAGAAAATAGACAAGTAGCCCAACAGAAAAATGGACAAAAAGTTTAAACATGAATTTTTCAGAAAATGTAAATGACAAACAAATTTATAAAAAGCAGCAAAATTTTACCCATCATTGCTAAAATGCATTGAGAATCACTTTTATATTTCCAGACTAAAACAAAGGATGATGGCAGAGAAAAAGGACACTTTAGTTCAGTCCTAAGAGAAAACAGAGCTTTTTTAGAAGGCAAGTGGGTAGTAGCAATCAAAATGTAAGATCAATTAAACATTTAACCTAGAAATTCCATACATAAGTTCTATTGTCAGAAATGTGATTTGTTTACTTACAGGACTTTATGTAAAAGGATGTTGACTACACTACTGTTCAAATACCATTGATTATGAAAAGTAACTTTATAGGACTCAAAATGAAAAGTTCTCCAAGTCATATGCTAAGGCAAAGAATGATACATACATGTCATAATATCATTCACTTTTAAACATAATTTGTTCCAAATGGACAACTGAAATTTGATGAATTTTTTCCAAGTATAACAAAATAACATCTTCTCACACAAACATTAGTGCAACATGTCAACATTATTGAAGATTTTACAAGATAGATGAAGGGGGTCCTTTATATAGAACATGTTGCCTGAAAACGTTACTTCAGATCTAATACTTTTGAATTTGTTCTCAACCTCACACAACTGAATGGTATCTCGTTCCCTCTTTCACAATCCAACAGTCACCTCTTCCCATTCTGATATGCTCCCTAACGCCTAACTCTGACACCCAGGCACCAGTTCTCAATGCTTTAGACCAAATGTGTCTCACCAAAATTGCTGTGTGAATTTGTAATTGCTAAAATGTGGAAACAACCCAAATGTCCATCCACCGAGGATTGGATAAGAAAATTATGGTACTTTTATATAATGGAATATTACTCAGCTGTAAAGAAAGATAAACTCGAGGCCTTTATATTTAAATGATCACAACTAGAAACCATACTCATAAGTGAAATAAATCAAACATACATGTGCAAGCACCACATTGTGTCACTAGTGTAAAACTTGAAAGAGTTAATTTAAACTCGGAGGTATGATAGATACTGTGAAATGAGGAAACCACTGAAGAGTAAAGGGCTTCTGGGATGTGGGAAAAGAGAAGGGAACGAAGGAGAAATTTTGTATGTATGTATATACAGGATAGATAACATGGTTGTTCTTCTGTCTTCTATTTCTATGCTGAAAGAAACTGTCAATGAGTCTTTGGTTGACCAGTATTGCATGTTTATATCTGTTTTCATGAGAAGCCACTTTGAAGATATCAATATGTAATACAACCACCATTGTTAATTCCCTACCACTTTGTTTGTAACTCTGTATTGTCTGTATTGTGCTTGTGATATGTTGTAAAATGTTGTATGTCTGTTAATGTTTCCCTCCTTTTATCTTTAAAATAAAAAAAAAAAATTGCTGTGTGGAAATCCTAATCCCCAATGAGACAATATTAGGAGGTTGGGCTTTGAAAGCTAACTGGGTCACATGAATGAGACTTAAGTCTGGAGAAGACACTGCTTTTACATTTGCTTCACACCCTGTGAAGATACAGGACAAGACACTACCCACCTGTAAACCAGGAGATAAGCCCTTGCCAGACACCTGACCTGCCAACACCTTTACCCTGAACTGCCTAGCATCCAGACCTATGAGAGACAAATGTTATTTCAGACCCCTAAACTAGGTATTCTGTGATAGAAGCCCAAATTGATGAAGATAATGCCTTATTTCTAATCCTCTCTACCCAAACCCACTATAAGCTTACAAAAGACGAAGGGGCATTAAAACTAAATTTGGCCTCTATAATTTGCTAAGTGATGAAATGAATACATTTTCAAAATAGAAACCATCCTTCAAAATTTCACTATGGTCATAATCAAGATAAATGACAATATTTCTCTTTTTAAGCAAATTTAAATATTAAAAGACAAGAAATGACCAAAAATAAGACAACTACAATAAAAATGAATAGATTATCTGCTCAAAAAAATCAGATTTATTGTATTTGAATAGAAACCCTTGGCTATGCTAGCTGACAATCAGACTGACTCTTGGTGTGTTTATTTTTTCTTATTTCTTTAGCATATCCTTATTTTAGAATTGACTAACTAGCCATTAATAAATAATGACGAAAGAAAAGGCTGATTTCCTTTTTTTTTTACATGATTCTTAAAGGACGTTTCAGACATTTTCACATAATCATACCAAACCTATGCTATGATCGTGATATTGCAAGAAACAGACGTGTTCAGAGGAGAAGAACTGAATGTACTTTCCACCTCGGAAATTACAGCCATCATGATTTCTATCCTTCCCAAGACATCATTATTACTTTCACATGATTTATGGCTGAAAGTATGAGAGATGGTGCATAGAGCTATGCCAAATTCCCATATGGTATATAACACAAGCCAAACTGTGAAAAACTCATAAATGTGGGTAGATCAGTTTCATCAAAGAAGGAGCAAGAGGGTTCCAGAGACTGAACAGGAAACTCGCCAGATAATTCTTTACAGTCATGGAATTCCAAAGCGCAGTAACAAAAACTGCCCAGAACACAGAATACTTGAGCCAAACATAAGTGCAGTAAACAAGAAATCAGGTAAAGACAGTACCAGTCAACCTGATTTATTCTTTGTTAAATCTACTTTTTGTTTTTCTCCTTAAACTAAGGCTGAAATTGACATTATAATTTATAAAATAATATCAAAAGGGACAAAATGGAAGTCCCTATGAATAGTGAAATAACTATAATCCTCATGAAATATCAAGAGAAAATAAGTACCAAGTTGTATTAAAAGAGGTTGTAAAAATGATATTTAATAGCATGCTAAAGTACATCAACCTAAAAATAGGCAAATATTTGTCATGTTATAGGGATTTTGACATTCATTTCTAAGATATTAAATTATCTTTGGACATTTCCTGAATTTGTTTCAAACACTATTTATTACTACACAAAAATAAATTTGATAAAAATAGTATGTTCTAGAACAAACACTCAAGCAAAAATAACTTAAGAAGTATAAACAAAAATGAATAGAACAACCCAAGAGATGATAACTTAAAGGAAAGGAAAGTTGGAGAAGTTATGCAAACTAAAGGAAACTGTAGAGTTGTTTCAGGAATGAGTCATGCAGAGGACAGAAAGGTAAGTTGGACAGTTAGTTAAGGTTATGGTTTGCAGAAATGCATTGACAGCAGAAAGTATATATATATATATATATATTCTGGCAAGCATGAGGTTGTGACTTCAATTTCCAGTATGAAAAAAAAAGTATACTTATTACAAATCATCAGAAATCTATTTATCACATTAGAGTGTAAGAGTGACATAACACAATTATGCTTTGGATGATGTGCTTGGTAGGATAGAAGGTACTGAGAAGAGATTAAGTGTCAGAAAGTGCAATGAGATGAATATGAAGGTAATCTAGATGAAAACTAATTTATCCAGATATTGGAATAGTAAAGGAAGGGGTAGGCAGGAGTTTTAGCAAGCACAAGGTCCTGAGTTCAATCCTAAACACTGAAAAAATAAAACAAAACAAAATAAAATGGAAGGGATGATGCAAAGGTGATGAAATAATGGAGACAGTAGAATCTATGGTCTGGTTTCCAGTTTTAGAGAGGAATTGAAACTGAAGAATAGATTTCAAGAATTATATACTTTGTCACTAGTAAAAGACTCTCCAATAGAGAAGTTATTAGGACAAAGAAGATGAAAAGGTCCTTGTAGAGCTTTGTAAAAGCACTGTCAAAAAGATACCCACTTATGTATCAGGTAAGCAGCTATAAATATGGGTCTGCAGCCTAGTATTAATGAAATCATTTGGAATTAACATTGATAATGGAAGTCATGGATACAGATAGCATTTCTTAGAGAGAGAGGACACAGAAAAATGTCTAAGATACCCTCTTGGGGTAAAGGTAGACTATCGTGACAGAGCTTTTACATGTCTCCCAAAAGCTCATGTAGGAAAAGTTTGGTTACCAACCTGTGGAGCTACTAGATATAACCTTAAGAAGACGGCACCTAGTGGAAGAAAATTAGGACATTGAGGGGTGTGCCCTTCATGAAGATATTGGGATTCCAGCTCCTACCTCCATCATTTTGCCTCCTGGCCATTGTGAGGAGAACAACTTTGCTGTACCATGGGCTCCCCATCATGATTTTCTGCCTAATGATAGGCTTAAAAGCAACGGAGCCAACCAACCATGGACTGAAACATCTGAAACCGTGAGTCAAAGTGAATCTTTCCTGCTCCGAACTTCTTTATCTAAGGTATCTCGTTACAATAATGGAAAGCAGGCTAATACAGAGGCTGCAGAAGTGTTCGGAGAAACTGTCAGGCGATCAACCAAAGTACACTACAAGAACACCAAAGATGAAGAGAATTTTAGACAGGTAACATGAACAAAAGCATCAAACTTTATGGAAAGAAAGAAAAGATTAAAAATTTAACAATTATTAAATCCCCATACCCTTCATTGACTTAATAACTGGGAGATTTTTAATGATTTAATACTCAGTGCCACTTTGTAAAAAGAGTTTCAATAGAGCATGGAAGACAAAAATGAGGTTGCAAAGGGTTATGGTCTGAGTGAGTGTTACGAAGCAGAGCAAGATCTCCTCTAGTGACTCATTACATATACATTGCCCCAGATATCCAAACACTTCACTGAAAGATGAACAATTGAAAATCATGTCAGCAAAATGGTAAAAAACAGATTAATAAGCTTTTACCTTCTTGTGATTCTTGTAAACATTTCTGTGAGCAAATCCCTTGCCACAAAGCTTGCATTTGTAAGGCTTATCTTCACTGTGGATTACTTTGTGGGCCCCCACTTGGTCAAGCCTCTTGAAAGATTTATTACAAATCTCACAATTATAGGGTCGTTTTTCTGTGAAAAATGAGTGAAGACAATCTCATAGCTATATAAAGGTAAAGGATAAAAAGGGACACATCCTTACCTTAAATTACTTGTTATACATGACTAAACTAAAAAGTGATGTCAAACTAAAACAAAGCAGGAAGAAAAAAGGACCAAGAAGTCCACTTACACTGGATATGTAAGTCTATTCACAAATGAAATATAAACTTATTCTCCTACAGGCTTATTTTAAAAACTAAAGGTAGGTTTAATAGAAAGAGGTTTAAATTTAAAGAAAAAATCCTATTTCCAGATGAAAAATCTGCTGATACGTGTGAGTTTAAGTCAAGGTCACAGCCGGGAGCACTAAGAGAGCCCTGGCACTGAGGGAGGTAAAAGCAAAGCTGCCTCCTGCAGGGCCACACAGGGCCCATCCAGGCAGAGTTTCCAACTGTCAGCAGGAATTAAACATTTAGGCGGGTATGTCAAAGCCATATTTATATGTAATATTCATATAATGTTGACAACTAAATTTTAAAAATACTGTGTGAATCAATGTATTTGAAATTTCTGATTTTAATTTACTAAAACATCTATATCTATCTCCAAGCAATGTGGATATTCAAAAACATTCTGACTTCAATGGCTTCAAATTACAAACATCTTATGTTCTAGGAGACTTTATGAAGCCAAAATTATTTTCAGAGTATTTTTTTTATAATCTGTGTAAGTAAAACCGACTTCTTACTCAAGCTTAAGATGAAAATTATGGCTTTAAAATAGTTTCTCAGAACATATTTATAAATTTCTCAGTAACATTTATTAGCACCATAATTAAGATGTAAAAGTATCTAGAAGTGTAAACATTGTAATTGTTGAATCTAGTAAATGTCAAAAGCTCTGCTAGTACAGTACGTAAACGATCATACTTGTACTTCAGACTTAATGTTTTTGAAAGTCAGGTACTGTGTCCCATTTCACAGAAGAGAAGTGACAAATTAAATGGTGACTCTGAAGATCCCCTTTAACCAAATCACCTAACAAATTATGGAATAGCAAATTAAGTAGCTTGTTCTAAATCTCCTGACTAGATAATGGTTATGCCAGAACTTACAGCCAGGACATCTCACTACCCTTTCAGAGCTCCTGAAAATGACAGTCACCCTTCTGTAGTGATTTCAATGTATAATGAAGAAGTACAGAGTTTACCTGAGTGGGTGATCATATGACGTTTCAGCTGATTGGCTGAAATAAATTTCTTCATACATTCTTGACAGTCAAATATCTCATGAATCTGAAAAAGATAATACTGACAGTTAAATAAACATTTGAAACCCAGAAAATTACACAGAGCTCATCCCAAAGTTTAAAACTACAGTTGCTACTGCAGTATCTGTTCATATTATCCTCTATAAACTGAAAATGCACCAAACATACATTATTTAATAAAACAGTATTAAAAACTTAACAGTCACAGTGCTTAAATATGCAGTATAGCTGATCTGTTTAATGTATACCACATGCATTGACTAAAAAGTTACACCTTGTACATATTAACTCTGTTGTTCTACACAAATTTAGACTTGGAAACATGTAACCTGCAGGAAATGAGATTCCTTTTGTAGTAGATAATGATATTTAAACCTAAGTGCACTAATGCAGAGTAAAATATTAATTGCAACTAAGAGATAAAGTTCTGAAAACATTTACTCCACATACAGAATCATGTACTGATTCTATCTTACTGATTATGGAGAAGTCAAACATGATCAGAGGACCACAATAAAAAAATAAGGAAGAAATTCAAAGGATACAAAGTAGTAGATATGTAAGATAAACAGGTCTAAAATAAAACAAGAATGAAGTCAACAATAATGAATAGTATTCAGTATTTTTTTGCTAAATGAGGAGATTACAGCTGCTTTTGCCAGAGTGCAGGGGATGGTTAAATATGAATTGAATGTTTTAGATTGTTGTGCTGCAATGGCTATTTTACTGTATATAGGTATCTTACAACTGATGCTGCACACTTTATACATTTTAAAATGTTTTTATACTAAACATAAGGGGGGACGCCTTTAACAAGCAACTAGTGCATATAAATATTACAACTGGATGATGCATTATTTCTTTCTCCATCAGACCTGTTGCCAGAGAAAATAGTATGAAAAGCAGCAACCTAAACTATTATCACAAACAATGTGCTCAGTTCTGAAAGGAACGTATTAGATCAGGCGATATCAGAAATTGTTATTGTCCCAATGGTCTGCACTATTTTGCTGAAGATTCTCTCGTGGTTTTGGTAAAGTCTTGCTTTTGTGTCAGGCTCACTGAAGGTACAGCTGGCTCCCAATGTATGACCCAGACAAGCAAAGGCCCTTGTGGAAGAAGCGAAGACAGTGACCATCCTGCAGAATAACTAGAGACACATGGAGTTACAGGTCACCACCTTGACCCAGCAGAGCACAGGTGTAATGAGTGCTCTTTTAATGGTCTCCTTGATCTAGAGGCCGTGACAGGACTCAAAGCCAGGAAGGTGCAGATGTTTTGGGAGAAGGCTAACAGATCCAAGGCCTCAGCGGCATCTTCTTTACCCATTCACATGCCAAGTCTAAGGCTACTGACCCTCTTATCTTTCTGTCAAATATGATTTGATGCACTGGAAAAAATTATGTAACGTAGTAAAACGTGGAGAATCAGACAACACCCAAGAGATATCATTCCCCTCAAGTCTAACTCTTATCCTTGCAGGGATGCAGCAGTATCCAATCTTGATTAAGGGATGATATCAATTCCAGAGACTCCACAGCTAAGAAAGCAGAGTGGACTCGGTGCCACCACCCTAGCAGGAACACAGGATAAAAGCTTGCAGCCAGCAGGTGTTAAAGGTGCGGCCTCATCTCCCAGCAAGGCTTGCACAGGGGCTTGGGCTGAACACTGAAGTCTGCGGAGCAGTGATGTGAAATGTGATGCTTATTTGAAGGTAATAAGAGTAGAATTTTTATATTCTTGAACCCTACTTCTGTAATTCATAGCACATAATTTTATAATGACAAACAGATGATAACCCTTCTGAGACAAACAAAAATGAAAACTTTTATGTATTTTCATCTTTAATACTAAATTTTCACTGGTATACCAAATGTTTACAACCGTTCAATGATATATAAAGTGGTAATTTAAATAAAATATGTGCAGAATGCTGATGTGTTCTCTTCTTTTTTTTTTTTTTTCCTGGTTCCGAGAATCAAACTCATGATCTTGCACTTGACAGGCAGGCACTGTGCCGCTGAGCTAAATCCCCAGCCCCTCTCTTCTTAACTCTCATAGCTTCTGAAACATGAAAGATTTTTGAGGTTGAATTAAATTGATAGTCTCCAAATTATTACAGAAATAATTTACTGTACACAAAAGCATGAGAAAGTTACTCTCCAAACTCCTAAGGTGGCTTAATAAAATTAATTTAATGTGAAAATGACAGGTAACAGTACTTAATGTCAAATACTAAAAACTTATTGTGTAAAATTTAGTATATCATATTGATCTGGAGGGTAATATTTCAAAACTCTAAATTAATTAATTTTCAAGAAAGACCATAATATACCTTATGGTTATAAAGGACAGCCTCCACTAATACAAAATACTGTATTGTGTAGTAATTTAGCATTGTAACAAAGCACCATCTCCTGGCAATGTGAACTATTGCAACTAAACTCTACAAGATATTAAGAGTCATCCAACTAAAATGTCACGACTGGAGTCATTAAAAGTTGTGTATATATTCAGAAGAGCTAAAATTGAGTAATTATGCTCTCATAAAGAGAGGAAAGGGCTGTAGCACACTAATAATTTACTACATTCTGTAACTATTAATAATTCAAAAGCATGAGCAATATTGTCTGTATTCTATCACCACCATGTACAGTTTCCTTCTATGAAGTTATTTCCTTCAAGGGAAAAAAGTTGTTAGGAAAAAAAATAAAACAGGACATCATTCACAAATATGCACCACCACCAATTTTGTTAAATCAGTCTACTTTTTAAACTACCTTAAATTTCAACCTCTAAGATTTAAATAGATCAGGAAAATAAATTATAGGATGATAAAAGAGAATGTTTAGAAAATATCTATTCCAATAGCTTTAATATTTTTGTCTCAAATTAGGTTCTGCTTCCCAAGCTATAAAGATGATGGGGAGAAAGAAAATGAGACTTACAAGAAGGAACATCTAGAAAAATGATAACTAGTTCAATGTTCCATTTTAAAAATGAGAAAATAGAAGCCCAATGTTAATGGAGGGTTAGTGACAAAGGAAGAAATACCCTAACCCGAACCTCAATGCTTATTCCATTATTCTTCAACAAAAGGATCAAAATCACAGCAGGTTGTAGCCACAGATACATCAATGTAATTTAAATATCTTGTGTGTTTTAAACTAAAACCTCAGAACAGTTGGAGCTATTATGTTAAAAGTCATATAAATCTTAAATCCTGTTTAATTACTACAGAATAGATATATATATATACGTGTGTTGAGTGAAAATTCGTTTTAGAAACCACAAAAAAGTAATCTGACTTTCATTAATACCATTTTCTCTTTCCTTGTGTACTAATTCATGAAAAGAAAATGTGCCATGTTCCTAAATATTCTAAAAGCACAGGAAATTAGGAAATGATCATTTATATCTTTGTTATAATAAAACACAACATGAATATTTTGAAACTTGTCATGATGTGAACAATATCTAAATTATATTTTAATTCTATCTTATTAACTGCTTGCTATTGTTCTTGGCCAATAATTGCCATTTGTTCTTTAAATTAATTTCCTCAGTAAAATAATAATGTAATGATTTTTAGATTTTTCTTCTAATATAATTTGTCTCTGCTAATAGCACTTGAACATACAAACCTATTAGTGTATACTTTATTATGTTAATGTTAGAAAATAGAATAAAGTACAGTCAAGCTTAACAAAACATTATACTAGGAATTCATAGTACTATTTTACTGTTGTATCATAATGGAACTCATTTTGGCTATTTTGGACTAAACTATAATATGTATTCCTTTTAATAGCCAAGGCTCCTTCCCAGAACATTGTAAATACCAAAAAAAAGTATGGTTTTCACATTAGTTTACTTATTCATTGATTTTCCTGAGTGTAACAGTTGATAACACATGAAACCAAATCAGCTTTATGTGAAGGATTCAGCCAGACATGACACCTGGCGTTGAAGAAGCATTTCAATTAATTCAGAATAACAGCAACTTAAAATATCCTTTTACTTTGTTGCACATTAGTTTTACATTCTAGAACATGTTATCATTTAATGGCAAAGCTCTGTCTTAACCATATAAAAAAAAATCAACTGAAAGTTTCTATGGCAGACACCATAAATGACAGGAAGATCTCTTACTGTGATGAAAGTTAATCTTTATTCTACTAACCTTTCTATGTTCCTGTAGACTTGATGGTGAGGAACACTTTTTATTGCACACTGAACATATGAGCTTTTTCTTAGTATCTCCTAAAATAGAAGTAAAATACCACTATAAATTAAATGAGACTACAGAGAGATACAACTGATACAGTGTTTCTACACATGTAATTTCATTTTCACAGTTCAGAATCTCACATCCATTTAGGTGGATGTAGATATACCCATAAACTCACATAAAATGTAAGTTGTATTTCAGACCCTTTCCTTTTAAACTTGAGAAATCTTCCACTTGATATACCACTTTTTAATAAAAGTGGTAAAGTGTAAAATAAGCCTTTCAATTTTCCATGTACTGACATAGTATTAAAAGAGAAAAACACATTTCCACAAAAATCAAATTAAAATTAACCAAATATACTTAAGAAAGAAAAAACAATTCATAAATTGATTTTTCTATTCCATTTACGTTTCAATAGAATATTTTATTTCATCAACTGGGTTTTTAAAATGGAACTTATAGATTATTATTTCTAATACCAGATTTACAAAATCTATGAGCACATACTTTATCAGATTAATGTTAAGAAACAGAATAATGTAAAATCAAAGATTAAAATGTTACATTCACAGTACATATTAATCAAAATAAAACCCAATTTTGCCTTCTTATATAATAATTAAATTAGATAGGTAAAACGTCATGAGAATAAAACATTTTAAAGTCATAGACTTTCAATAAAACATTTTTAAGATATGATGTAATAATAATGTCATCTATACTACTATCAAACAACAATAAAATCATGTTTTGCACTTCTAATTTATTAATTTCAAATATATATATTGAACATATTTTTGGGCATGGTGGCGTACACCTGTAATCCCAGCTTTTGGGAAGCTGAGCCAGAAAGATTATGAGTTCAAGGCCAGCATGAGCTGCATATTGAGTTCAAGGCTAGCCTGCACTTCACAGTAAGACCCTGACTTAATTTTTTTTTTTTTTTTTTTTTGGTACCAAGAATCAAACTCAGGACCTTGCACTTGCCAGGCAGGCACTTATACCACTGAGCTATATCCCTAGCCCAAGACCTTGAGTTAAAACAAACAAAAGCAAAACACAAAAGGAGATAATGAGCTAATGTGCATTCACCACAAGACTCCAACAAAGACTGCTGGCCCAGGGCTACTCCTACTGCACCCTCAATTCCATCCATTGTCCAATTCTCTTATTATTTTGAAGCAAATCCAAACCAAGTAAAAAAATTCCCAAATGATTCTACTATAAGATCATATTTATGAAAGAAAAACACATTTTAAAAAAACAACAAATATGAATTTTTCAAAATATTGCTGGTAACAGTGCATCCATTTAATACACTGTTTTCCTCATGCTAGCATTTCATTAAAGAAAATTTTCTTAGTGATTGACAAGAAAGAGGGCTACAGAATGAGAAAACTCTCTTGAGCAAATGGGTTTCTGACTGCATATATATATATATGTTCATTAATTCCCTAAAACATCTATTATATGTGAAAGGCCACTGAGAAAGAACATTCCCTCTTTTCCAACTCCCATCTGTTGGGTTTGACCATGTTTCACCCATAATATTTAATTGCCAAACCCCAGCCCTCATGACAACTGCTCCTTGGGATCAGCCAGGCCCTTCCCACCAGGGAGGTCAGAGGAGGAAGAGAGGAGAGAAATAAGTGGTTCCTCCAAGCACTATTCTCCCTTTGCCCTTATCCTCCTGCCACTGTCACAGGTTATGCACCAACCCCCACCCATGCGCTCCAATCTGTTCTTTCCTCCTCATATCTCTTCCTCTTTCTTGTAGAGCTGGAAAATTTTCTTGGAAAGAAAGCAGAAAAGGGGGCTGGGGATTTAGCTCAGCGGCACAGCGCCTGCCTGGCAAGCGCGAGGTTGTGAGTTCGATTCCCGGTACCAGAAAAAAAAGCAAAAAAGCAAAAAAAAAAAAAAAAAAAAAAAAAAAGAAAGAAAGAAAGCAGAAAAGTCTCAGGACTACTCATCTGAGAATATATATACATGTTATCTCCTCTGTACTGTTAGCATTTACAGAAACTAGGCGAATGAGAAAGACAGCAAGTGGCTTGAGGAACTCAGTCCTTTCATTTTATGCATTCTCTTGTGTAGCCATGAAGTTCTCCACCCTCTACCAGCTTTCCTAGGTTCAAGACAAACAGCAGCAACACAAAGCCACAACTAGAATGCATACTATTTTTGGCTTTCCCATATACAAGTAAATCTGATGTATAACTTTCACATGCAATTTTCAAAAGTATTCAGGAGGGCTGGGGAAGTACCTCAGTCGATACTGCTTACATAGTGTATGCAAGGCCCTAAGGCTGAATCCCCAGCACCACCATTAGAAAAAAAACCTCAGGAACATATTATAACAGTAGCTGATGGCGAGGAGAATTTGTATAGCCACACTAAATACATAGTCAGTTAAGCACATGGGTTACAGCACACCGGTTAAGTGTGCTTCTAGGAGCTAGTCTAAGAACCTACCTACCATATGTTATAGTTTCTATGAAAAACTTCATTTAAATACTCAGGTTCCTTTTATTCAGCATCTTCAACTCATATCACATGGAAAGGAAATTTGTCATCATAAGTAGAAGCTGCAAGATCCTCTATTTCTTTGGATACCTTTCTCCTTTTATAATAAAGACTTCTACAACCAGATGTACAAGTATTGCTTTGCTTGCTATTTTCAATAGGAAATGTTTTTTCCTTACGTGTGTGTGTGTGTGTGTGTGTGTGTAGTTGACAACAAGGAGAAAGGCCAGAGATCATGCGTGAGAAACTAAAATCATGTACCAAATCCAGAAAAAGGTAGGTATAGTGACTTTTGGTTAAAATATAGCAAGTGTTCAGATTTTATGTAATATACAACATAGAAAAAATAACAAAATAAAATTTCCTTTCATAAATTATTCCCTACAAATCACCATGAATTTCCAGACTCTGTAACATTAGAACATCCAGTGCCAATCACAAGAAGCCCCAAAATTTATGCTTATAGCACAGCATGACAACCATATACCCAGTAACAAGAATGCAAAAATTTCCAGAGTTTCAGTATGTATCTGGTTTTGTACTTAGTCCAGCAAAGTTAACTTTAAAACTGACATGAAAATTTTGTTACAATACATTACAGACATAGAGAAAATTAAGAGCAGCACTTTAACCTGAATGATATTTAAAAAAACAAAAAAACTATGAAGGCAAGTCTATCAAAAAGTTATGCTTGCCTTTCAGAAACACAGAAAAATGTCCACCTATCAACTATATGTTCTTCAAAAGGAAAAACAGCAAACCACACTGTGAAGTCCCAGTGACGGGCACCAGTGAAGGTGTATCTCACAAGACTACCTTCCGCTTCGAGGGCCTTCAAAAATACCTCACAGTCATTGTGATGCCCAAACCAACACTGTGAATTTGCAACCAGTAGCCAAGCTCATGCCAGCAACCTCTATGACTTTATTATTATTAAAGCCGATACTTTTGGAACAATAAACAAACATAGGGAATAGATGCTAGGCTAAATACCCTTTCCACAATAGTGTGAGCATAAACAAGGGAGAAAAAGAACTCACTTTCCCCCTATTCAAATACACACTTCTAAAAATTTCCCAGAAACCAAACGCAAAGGCAAATACACAAGAAGAGTTTATGCATACAAGCATACATAGAATTCAATGAATCTCCACATCTTTTGAGGAAAAGATATTAAGTAGAAGGTTCTTTGCGAAATACAGCCAGTGGCTCAAGTCAGTGCAAAATATTCAGTCTCTAAACCAGAACACACTTACTGATTGCTACAAAGTGCTAAGCAGATCAAATCTAAGTAACAATCAACTTTTATATTTGTTTTATTGTTTAGCTAGCCATTAGAAGGAATATGAATGGCATTTGCTTTATTAATCAAACTGTATTCAATTCTCATCTCAAAATGTAGTTAGGAATTTTCTCCAATATGGAAGAAATGTAAGCATTTAAAGATTGAATATTTCCATTAAAAACATTAAGGCAAAAAGGCATCACTTAGTTTCAAAATATATCTGTAACTGTCAATCTCAACAATTTATGAAAGAAAAATTTCATATGCTGTTATTAAAAAGTATTATGTTTTAATGCACCTGACTACCAAGCACAACCAGATTCAAGTTTAGATTTATAATTGTGACCAACTCAGAGATAGGAAAACTAACAAATGCTGTTCGAAATCTACTTGAAAAAGAAACAGTGTTTGGTGAACAAAAGAATCCACATCTGTGTGAAATATACTGGAAAAGTCAGCTTTTCTCCTCAAGAGTGAGAATTTAAAACAGATAGCTGTGGCCTGGGGAAAGGAAATGCTTTTAAAAATGACCTTCCAATGACTCCTCACCAGTGTGGACATTTTCCTGGTGTCTTTTTAGGGCATCCCTGCTCTTCAACTTCTTCCCACAGCTGTCAGCCTCGCACACGAACCTGGCATCCCCCCGGCAGGTCTCTTGGTGCTGCTCAAAACTACAAGACAAAAAACCAGGGCAGACAGGATGAAGAAATGCTGACGACTCCCTACAAAATTTCAACATCATGGCAGGCTTCTGTAACACATGCTCCCTACTAGAGCTTCAGGGTGATTTCATGCATTACTTACGCAGGTAAGAAAGAAAAGCATTTCAATCCTTTAATTTAATCAGTGTAATATGGAGTCACTACCAAGCATGAAATTGTGCATGCAAAAAATGACCCACAATTATATAACAGCCATCTCATAACTCAGACACAAAACCTCAATGCTGAGCTGAAGGAAGAAGTGCACAAAGAGCACTGAAAACTCCGTGAAGAATCCTTCAGACTGCCTTTCGCTGTGCACTGAAGACCACTGAGGGGAAATAGAGGAAAAAAGACAGACAGTAACAAATGCTGGAACTCTGAGGAGACGATGTGCGAAAACGCTAACTTGAGTAAAATCACATACGCGATCTTTATTCACTGTTTTCTGCCTTTAAAGATTTTTTAAAGTATACCTTATTTGAGCTCTAGTTCAGCAAGTGTACTTTCATGCGGACTACATAAAGCCAAATGCAATAAAAGCTTAGTAGAATGCAGTGTTTGAGTGTATTTATATAAAAGCACATAGTCCTTCCTCGATGACTTTTTTAGTTTTTCTGTTTCCATTTTTTATTAGCACGTCTGCAGCTCATAACGATGGCAGTCCTGGTGTGGAGCTGGTTCACGTGGATGACACAGCTTAATTCCTTTTCTCCCCCTTCCCTCCCTCTCTCCCTCTACCTCCTGATCCTCTTCCCCTTTGTAGAAGATCTATCTCCTTATTTTCAATTGTCTTTTATTTTGCCCTTAATTTATATTTTGAGTTTCTCACATAAGAGAAACCAGGAAATGTTTAATATTGTGTGTTTGATTTATTTCATTTAATATTATTTCTCCAGGTACACCCACTTTCCTACAAATGATAGAAGTCTTTTTTCTTTATAACAAAGTAGTACTTCATTGTGCATAAATACAATATTGTCTTTATCTACTGATCTATTGATAGACATATATACTGCTTCCAAGGTTTACATATTATGAAGTGTGCTGCTATAAACATAGGTAGTTAATTTAAAAGAAACTCCAACAGAATCTTTACATGTTCAATCTGTTGCTACAAGGTTTTAATTTTTTAAACATTAGGTCTAAGGAGAAATTTTTATTCTCAAATTTATAAGCAGTATATTTGGTGCTAAATATATGGGAATATATACCATTATATATATTTATAAAAATATATAGTGCTATAGGTATGTCCTATGTATAGTGCTATATAGAGAACTATATAGTGCTGTGTGCTATATATGTGCTATATATATAGAAATATGGAAATATAATGCTATACATATGGAAATGTGGAAATTTAAGTAACACTATTTATATATATGGAAATGACCCTAATATAGAGATCATGTTAGAACTTTAATGAAACAAAAAAGAATATTAAGCCCATGTAAAAGATTTTGTATTCATATGTATGATGATATTCTGTTAAACATAACTCATGATCACTTTTAATAATTGATGATCCTGTAAAATATTTAAACAAAAGGATGATACATTGTTAATATAGATCGTTATGATAATAAAGACTTCAGAGCTGTGCGTAATATCATTTAATTCATCATATTGTCATATTCTGTATTCATTTAATTATTCCTCCAAAGTTATTGTTAAATAAACATTTCTTCCCAAAATGCCTTTGCATTCTTCACACTCTGAACTTTCTCCATTTCTTAAAACTTTATTTTAGAGGGAATATCAAATGTTGACAATTGAAACTTAGGACACATTACCTCAAAGCATGGGCTAAATTATGTATATCTGCATTTCAGATTAGTAAACCAATGAGGTTGATATTGAATGGCAAGTCATTAAAGGGACAATGACTGATTAGCATACAACTATTTCCTTGTAACTTCATAATCAAAATATTTTAAAAAGCAACAGATTGCACCCTGAGAAAAGATTAATTAATGCCAATATAGAACGTCTAATCTCTCTGTCTCTGTCACACGTGCGCACACACACACACACACACACACACACACAGGTTAAAAGCTATCAGTCAAGATGAATGGAACAGTTAAAGTGTTAGCTGTAATTTCAAAGGTACTTTTTAATGTACGCACTGTCTTTGCAAAGCCTGCTTAACTGGGAATTTCTTCCCGCAGTTCTTGCACTTAAATTCTTTCTCCTCTGTGGGCTTTTGGTGCAATGTTTGGAGATGCTCAGCAAGAATCTCCTCGCTGGTAAAGCTCGAGTCACACTGTGGACAGGCATAGTCCTCTTCACAGCAAAGGGTATCTGAACATGGATGAGGAAACACTTTTACAAGATGGAAATTCAGAGCCAAGAACTACTAGTTTTTGCTTGAGCGTTAAAATCAAATTAATTGTGTTTAGTAGAGAAATTCTTATTTTTCTATGACTGTGAAGTGTTGTCCACAAAACAATAACAGAAAGTGTTACTACAGGGACAACAACAACAGGGGCATATACTATTTTTAAAATCATTTACTTGGGTTTCACTGAATTAATACAAAATCAAATTCAATTTTTAGTTTATCCTATCTTAACAGTTCAGACCAAGGAGTTATTACAAAGGTTGAATTGCAAAACAAAACTTTTCCCCCAAATGGTCCATCTTTCCTTCACACTTTGTTTCACAAGAAGAAAAATCCAACTGAAGTAAATTTTTGAATTACCAAATCTAACATATATGTGAAAAAAAAGACCAAAATCATAAAAAGAAAAGCACTGTGCTGACTCCAGCAGCTGGGGTGAGTGAGGCTCTGTTGTCTGCAAATGGACTAAGATCTGTTCACATTTCTCAGGTGCTATTAAAAGAAAATGAAAGAAAAAGAAAAGAAAAGAAAAGAAAAGTCACCAATAAGCTCATCTTCCTGAGACAGTGCTATACTTCCAGACATGCCTTTATCTTTTGTACACACAAAATTTACACAGAGTACAGGAAAAACTACATTTATGATCACACTTTATACACAATTTCACATTGCTCTTTTTTTCCACATAACATCTCAAGTCAGTATTTTTAAATTAAAGGTACTGTAATTTATTCAATCACACTCTCAATTGTTAGAGATCCAAGTGGCTTCTTTATTTCTTTTGCCGGAGTTTTTGTTAGTTTGCTTTTATAAATGAGCCTTTAAGAATTCTAGAACAAAAATAGCAATAATACAAGTACCTGGTTGATATGTTTAGACAAACTTTTTAACATTCTGTGAATTCTGTTTACAAAAATAATAAAAATTGTTATCTTGATAACAAAACAGAAATCAGGCCAGGGAGAGGTAAATGGGAATATTTTATTTGTAAATTTAAAAAATGAACACAATAAGAACTCTTTCATGCGATGGAGAGAATAGCCCCAAAAAACATAAATGCAGAAGTAAATGTCATCACCCAAAATGTGATGTTCCTAACAGTATGATGCATATTTGAAAAATATCATATGCTGAGCCTGTCCTCCTTGCTCTTTCAAATAATCCAATTGAAGCAAAGAAACAGAAACAAGCTGGCGAGGGTGAAAGAATGCACAGACTTTCTAGCCAATGACATTCAGCTGGAATTGGAAATTCCTTTGAAAGGCCTTACTCTCAGGGCAACTGCGAAAACCAGTGTTACTTCTGAAGTGGTTTTGCTCTACAAAATGGAAAAATACTGTACAGTAAGTATCAGCCTGCTGTGGTCTGAATGCCTGTGAACCGCTAAACACACATAGTACAACGTAAGCCCCGTGGAATAATATTGAGAAGGGAGGCCTCTCAGAGGTATTTGCTCTCATGAATGGTATTGGTGCCTCACGAAGAGGTGCAAGGAAGTACGTTTGCCTTCCTGTCATAGGAAGACAAGGGCAGAAGGTGCCCTCTGTGGGGAACAGACCCTCAGCAGACACCAAATCTGCTGGTGGCTTGACATTGGACTTCCCAGGTTCTAGAGTGGTAAGCAATAAATTTCCATTTTTCATAAATTATCCAGTCCAACCCAAGTGTTCTAAGGCACAACCTATTACAAAATGTGAATATCTATGAGACATCATTCACATTTCCCTCACACTTCATCATACATGAAACACAACAGGCACAAGCTCTGACCCCAACTGTTTCTTTTCCAGCAGCTCACAAGCGTGTGATATCTATCTCCTAGATTGCAGGACAAGTTTAAATAAGGCTGACCGATGGCCATCACAAGTCACTGGTCATCAAAATAAGACAAACTAGAAATCCGGCAGGCTTCTGTGATCAGAACAGAAAGAGTATCCCAGAAGTTCAGGGTTCCCAAAAGACCTCAAACAAGAGTGAGGCCCAGGGCTCAGTCCTCCAGGATCCAGCAGGGTTCTCCTATACGTTTTTGGTTTTTCTCCGGTACCAGGAACCGAACTCACGGCCTTGCGCATGACAGGCAGGCGCTTTTGCCGCTGAGCTAAATCCCCAGCCCCCTCCTATACGTTTTATCTCTTCACTCATCCTTTCCCATGTGCAGACAAGAAATTAAACTCTCCAGCTTTGGGAAAGTGACCTACTCAGTGTTTTCAGACTAATCAGCTCATTGGTGTACACAGAGCTCCATCCCCTCCTTCTCTGACAATGCTCCATTACAATGCAAATATAATTCAAACTGTATTTCTTCTACAGCTTTTATGTTCTCAGAACACCAGTTAAAGTTTTTTTTGTTTTATTTTGTTTTGTTTTTTGTTTTTTTTTCTGGTACCGAGAATCAAACTCAAGACCTTGTGCCTGCCAGACAGGCGCTGTGCCGCTGAGCTAAATCCCCAGCCCCCAGTTAAAGTTGTAATACCTTTTCTGCCAGCTGCTGATTGTCCTTTAGAAGTTTCATCTTCCCCTTCTTTGATCACAGTCCTAATCTGCTGCTCCTCTTCATCAGCTTCCATGTCACTGTCCAAGTAGCCAATCAGAAGCTCTGTATCTGTTTCTATATCTTCAACTGCCAAGTAGAAAATGTTTTCGCCTTCCTGAAACAAACAAACAGAGGAATCAGCAAGTCGTTAGTTTCTGGTGGTCCCTAAGAAATCATTTTAAGATGTATTAACTGAGTGTCATGTGCTTATGGTCAGTTGCTATTACAATTTTTTACGTTCTACCTGATCTAGATACTGAAAATGGAAAGTGAAACTGTTCAGTCATTTGGAAATAAGACACAAAGATATCTATCATTTAAAATGAATTTATATATGCAAATGAAGTAAGAATATAAAAATGTTATATAAAAATGTTATATAAAAATGTTAAAGGGAATTCTGCAACAGTAATAGCTTTTCACAAGAAATGCCTTGCAAGCCCATAAATATGCTGTCAGGCAGTGTTGTCGTTCACACACCTAGGCAGACAGCAATGAGCCTTCCATGATTTCATTATGACAGACATTAAGTGCAAGACTGAAATAGAAAAATAAATCCTTCAAATTCCAACACAAAGCAGAGGAACTGCGAACAAAACCCTTTTTTAATTTGTTTTTTTACTAGCATATGTTTGTGATACATTTCTGTTGAACTACATTCACCTAGAGGAACTGGTATAAGCAGGTATCACATCTTAATCATTTTACCCCCCTGCCCCCTCTCCCCTCCTCTCTCCCTCTGTCCTCAGATCCCTTTCCCCATCTCCACAGAATCTACCTCCTTGTTTCCTACAATTTGTTTTTATTTTGCTCTTTTACATTATTTATATTTGGGATCTCTCATATTAGGGTAACTGCAATATTTAACCTCTGTGCCTTCCATATTAGACAAAGCATACAACATTTAACCTAAGTATGATTTATTTTACTTCATATTATGGTCTCAAGGTGTATCTGCTTTCCTATAAATGACTCAAATTTATGCTTCTTTATGGCAGAACACTCCACTGTATATAAATACACCATATTTAAGTTTTCCATTCATTTATTGATAGGCATATAAGCCATTCACATATTTAGCTATTGTGAGTTGTGCTATTATAAACCTGAGTATTCATGGGTCACTACACTGTCATGACTTTGACTCTTGAAGAAGATGCCCAGATGCATAATTGAGCCAAGTGGAATTTCTATTTTTAGTTAATTTTTGAGGAATCTCTATAATGATTTCTATGGAGGTTGTACTACTTTACATTCCCACCAAAATATCAAAGGGGTCCTTTTTCCTAACAGTTACAGTATTTGTTGTTTTTTGAGTCCTTAATGATGGCCATTCTTATTGAAGTAAAGTATTCTCAGTGTTTTTTCAATTTACATTTCTCTAATGACTAGTGATTTTGAACATTTTTATATACTTATTCTTCTTCTGAAGTTTCTATTTTAATTGACCATTTTTGATGGGGACTTTTATATTGGGGGGATCTTAATTTTTCTGAGTTCTTTATATATTCTAGATAGTAATCTTGTCTGAGGAGTGCTGGCAAAACTTTTTTCACCTTCTGCAGATTGCCTCTTCACTCTGTTGGCTGTTTCCTTTGCTATGGAGAAGATTTTTAATTTAAAGTAATGCTATTTGTTGATTCTTGGTATTGTGCAAATAACTTCTTTTCCTCAAAGAATTTCAAGAAAGCTAGAGTAGAAATAGCAGAAAGATTATACCTCTAGGAGGTTCAACATACTGACTGAACCATCACATATGCCTCACGCTTTTGTCCTCCCTAAACCCCACTGAAATTATAGAATATAAGGTCCACTATCAACACAGCAATCTTCTTCAAAAATTCTAGAAGACAGAAATCAGACATGATGGAAATGATAGAAAATGACAGGAAACCTCACCGGTAACAGCCACAGAAGAAGAATACTGCATAAATGAAATCCCAGAGAAACTTTATACTTGGAATCAACTGGTACAAAATGCCTCTCTGGGACTGAAGCCAAGGCAATCACCACGGAAGCCAGAAAACGGGCTGCATAGCTGGCTGTCCCCAGAAGAAAGGACCCAGACTCTCCCTCCTTTACAAAGTTGAGCAATTGTTCTGGGACAGTTCCTAAAGTGGTTACTAAGGATAAACAGAAGCAAAGCAGAGTCTGAATTTATTGAACCTTCATGGTGGGCAAAGGGAGAAAAGGACAAAGAAAATAAGCTCCACTCAAGAGTGAAAATCAGTAAAGCACAAGTCAGAGAACCAGTGCCTTCTTTCCTTTGGCAATATGTTAAGCACTTATGTTAAGAAGGAGGAGAAGCACAAAAGGAAAGAGGTAGGGAGAGAGAGGGGAAGGGAACAAGAAGGAAGAGGAGTGTGCAATGAATGCACAGAGTGTGCACAGATGTACACAAGCAGAACCCTATGAACATTGCAAAGATGTACATCAAACTGTTTAGTCATTCTGAAGAAGAGAGGGAGGATATTCACATAGAGGTTGCTTTAACTTGTAGTTTTACATGTAGAGGTTACTTTCTAATTTCAATAAAATATACATATTAGGAAATTTCATGAAAGAGTGAGAAATGATTTTCATATTCATGCAATATTGTGTAAGTTCAAGGCACCAAAGATAATCTACCCACTAGATATAGTTAAGTGAAAGATGCTCCTGCAATATTTACAACAGTCTTGGAAGTTTTCAAATTTTAAACCTCTGGAGTTACTGCTAATTAAAAAACAGTAAATTAAGTTCTATACAATTGTTACTCTGAGTGCAATAAAAATAAACAAGAAACAAAGACGTTCAGCAAACAATTAATACATACATACATACAATCTCTTTAAATTAAATCAGAAGTGGCATTTCCCAGAGTTTGGAAGCCACTTGCTTGGAAGGTTGCTGGAAGCAACTATGTACTTACCATAAATCTTACTGTTTATCTGATCAATATCCAAGAAAGTTAATTGAAACTTCTTTCTAGCACATTAGTCACTAACTGTGTGGTGGCTTTCATAGCACTCAGACAAGATAATTTTTAATTATAAAACACAATAACATTATATTAAACTATAATCATAAGACATAATATATTTATAGACGGCCTCTATAATAAAGGAAAACTTCAATACACCAGCTAAAACTTTAATGAATAGAATGGTAATGTAACAGGCTGCAAAGAATCAGCCACATTTTCTATTTTCCATAATTGTGATATGAAGAGAAATATAATTATATGTATCATAACTTGTTTGCTGGGCAAGTCTTTCTACACAAATCAGTGTGAAATTAACACAATGTTTAAAGAGAATGCCACTGAAAAGGTGGGCTACACAAGCTTGAAAGTTTGGCAGGCCTCTTCTCCAAAATTACAGGGCAATGTAAGCCATCATTCGATGTGATTTTTTATCACAGTGGCTACTTCTGCATTGTAGCGATGGTGAGGACCAAATGAATGCAAGATGCCTTCTAGTCCTAATTCCTTCTGATTTTACCACTCCACAAAAACATTTACTCCTGGATAACTCAGAGATACATCTACTTTTCAAGTTCTCTATCTCCCTTCAACATCCGGCATTATTTATAAAGCCCAACTTTCTCTGACAGTTTCTCACTGTCCTGTCTCAAGTACCATGCCTCACTAGGATAGATTTCATAAACTCATGTGTTGGGGGTTCCATTGTACTATTTCAAAACAGCAAAAGCAGATCTATCTTGTTTCACCAGGAAATACTGATCCCCACTGTGTGCCATAAATATCACTCTGGAGGAGGCCATGGATGCTTTGGTATTTCAGCTCCATCTATCTATGACTTTACTGGTTTCTGTTTCCTTGTTGGAAAGGCTTCTGTCTGCATGTGTGTGATGTAAGGAATAATGACTGTAAAGCTGGCAGAGGCACAATTTAGTGTATTGCAAAGGTAGTAAGCTGAAAATCCATGCTATCCAGCTAAACTGCCTAACAAGTGATCTAAGCAAAAAGAAATCATCTGCAAAACAATTCTTTGTCTTAGAAATTAACAATTTATACTAGTGAAAAAAAAATTCCAGACTGCCACTTAGTAATCAGTAACAGCAAAAGACAAGTGATAAAGGTAAAGAAAAGAAAGTAGGATAAAAGAGTAAAAATTTCATATTTAATATCCACTCATTTACTCTCATTTTCCCAAAACCTGGAGTCAGCCTCAAGATGCGTATCAATATCATTTCTATAGAGTTCGATATACATAGCTGACAAGCATCAAGAAGAAATAATCTCTATAGCAAAATTCAAAGGACATCTGCAGAAATAGTTTAACAATCAAACAAAGGATGGCTAACGCTAGTAGATCAAGTATTCCAATTCATTCACTCTGCTCCCACCTTGCCATCGGACTCAGTGCTGCTTGGATATATGTTTGACCAGGTGACCTGCCCTGACTCAAGATGAACAGAAACAAAGTTAAACCACATTCAAGCAAAGGCTTTGACCACTACTTTCTTTCCCCTCTGCCAGAAAATACATGTGTTAGGTAAGGGCTGTTCCTTCAGATACTGTGCACCCGAATGGTGGACAGAATTGCAGCCTCTGGTAGCTCTACACTTGCATGAGAAAGAAACAAAACTTCATTGTGATAAACTAGTTGTCTTCCTGCAAAAGTAACTGACACAATAATTTAAGCAAAGTAATACTTTAAAAAATTCTTTTATTTGAGAAAAGGAAGTATCTTGAAATCAAGAAAAAAATAACGATACTCAGAGAAACAACAGATGCATTTAAACAAAGAACAAAAGAAAACACCAATTTCATGTTGAGATTGCATTTATCAGGTCCTATAAGAAAAATGAAGTTTCAAACAAACGTAAATAAAATTGTCTCTTTGTGAATGACATATCGAAATCAGCCGCAGAGCAAGGAAAATAGTTTAATTAGATTCTGAAGAATAAACTACTGTATTAAACCAAAAAAATCAGCTCTATAAACAAAATATCAATCTCAACTTACTAGCATACATACATATCTTTTTCAGAGGTGTTCAGAGCATTTTGGAAGGCCTCACAATCTGAAATCATGGAGAAAAGAATGAACAGAGAATAGGAAAAAAGGATTACCGCATAGAAAAAGAAGTAATGTGTTCCTGGGAAATA